GAGTCATCTAAACAAGAGCGAACTCGGATAGATCACAATCAAATCAAGATCAAGTCCAGACTCAAACTCAGAAGTGGAATTACTGCCAAATCTGGAATCAAGTCAACAAATCGTTTCCAGACCAATCAACCACACAACCGAACCGAAGGTCAAATCAACAAAGGATTGAACCACAAACGACGGAACCCGAAAACGACGAAACGGACAAACCCCCGGGGACTCGGCCGAAACCGAGCCACCCCAGGGTGGCTCGGCCAAGGCCGAGCCACCCTGAGGTGGCTCGGCCCACACTGTGCCCGAGGCACAGTGAGGGTAGCCTATAAATAGGCCCCCTATTTGTTCATTTGTAAAAGGTTGGAAAATTTGGAGAGGCGAAGCCCTGCTGGATTGAAGACTCAGATCTAAAAAAGATCACAACTTTGAAGGCTTGGAGACTTGGACTTTCAGATCCGGTGCTCGGCGATCACCAACGCCAAATAAGGCAGGAGTTCGAAAGGATTGGATCTGAGATCTACACGATCACACTCCGGATCTAAGCTTGGTTCTTAGATCCCGAGATTCGAGCGGTTGTTTCCTTGGTGAAACAATCCCTCCCGGCTATTATTCCCTTGGTGGAATATTACCCGTCATATCGTGTAGATCCGACCGGATCGAGATCACGCGGTGGTCCACGGCAAATAACCCCGGCGCAGGCAAAGAACCCACACAAAGCGAGTGACCGCAAAACAGGAGCTCGCGATTCGTTCGACAAACAAGGAAACAAAGTTGTAATTTTCATTTCTTTTTATTTGATTTTCGTTGTAACCGGATCTTATAAAAAGACCGGATCTTTGTAATCGATAAACTATTACAAGAAGTGTACAACGGAATCATTAATGAAGAAGGCAACTGTTTTTCCCGCGAACACCAGCAATCGTGGATCAGGAAGGAGCAAACAAGGTGACGGACCCAAAGTACTGCGCGTACCACAGAGCGGTCCATCACCCTACGAGGTCGTGCTACCACCTCAAGGACAAGATCCAGGCACTCATTGACTGTGGCGTTCATAACCCCCGAGCCCGCAAGAATGTGGCGCGAGCAAAAACGCAGTATCAGATCAGTTTCGCGATCGATACTGTAGGCCGTATAAACGCTTATATAGGCGTCTTTACACAGCTCGCGCGATGATTTCGACAAATCCACGACGTTACCGCAACGAACGAACTAAAAGAGCTACAAAGCTCAACCGAACCTGCATGTGAGAACAACGTTATCGTTGGGGAGTCGACGGGTTCTTCCAACCAAAATGGATTTAAGCTCACAACACCGACTGGTTTACTGGGCCAAATCCGAATCAAGTCACACACACAACAAAATACACACCGAACAACGGACAAGAACAACCGGTAAACAACGGACAACGAAAAAGCCACTGCGGCACCTCGCGCCACCTAAGGAACTCGGCCCGCCACACCGAACTAAGTGCCACGGAGCCACCGACAAGGTGGCCGGCCCAGAGCGGAGCACCCTAGGGTGTGTGCGCAATCGAGCACCTCCAGGGGGCTCGCAAGGAGCCGAGCCACGCCTGAGGTGGCTCGCAAAGCCGAGCACCTCAGGGTGGCTCGCCAAGGCCGAGCACCCTGAGGTGGCTCGCACAAGCCGGAGCCACCCCAGGGTGCTCGGCATAGGCCGAGCCACCTCGGCCCAAGGCGACTGGGTGGCTCGGCAGCGAGACTTGCGCTCAAACTGTGCAAACGCACAGTTTCTGAAGAGCCTTATAAATATCGGCCACTGCTATCCGTCATCATTCGTTGGAGTGCTTCTGATAACTTTGGACGAGAGGCCGAAACTCTGCCGGATTGTCAACCTTCAACTCGAGATCTGAAGGCTTGAAGACTTGAGACGGATTTGATTCTTAGCGAGGCCCCAGCACGAAAAGGCAGAGTTCGAGGAGAGTTAATCCTCAGATCTAACGTCGTTAACCTCCGATCTAAGCTTGGCTCTTAGATCCCGAGATTGCGAGCCGCGGTCGTTTCCTTGGTGAAACGACCCTCCTCGGCTATTACCTGGTGGATAATAACCCCGTAATACTCGTAGATTCTGCTTGAGTCCAGATCGACGCGGTGGTCCACGTAAGCAACCCCGGCGCAGGCAAACAACCCCCCAGAAGCAAAAGACCCGGCAAAACAGGATCTTGTGATTTGTCGAACATAAAAGAGAGAAGTGTAATTTTGATTTCTTTGTTTATTTGTTGATTTTCATTGTAAGCCGGATTTATAAAAAGACGCGCTCGTCTTGTACTGCAATAAAGTTGTTACACTGAGTGCAAGGGAGTCGATAATGAAGAAAACACCAACTTTCCCCGCGAACAATCTGGCGACGACAGTGGGAGCCACCCGTATCTCACGCTGAAGATCGGAGCGTCGGCGACCGCGATCTCGATCCCGTCGTGAAAAGGAGGCAAAAGAATCGACCAGACCAGAATACGAGGAGTAACTGTCCTCCGTCTGATTACCTCACTTCCCCCAATGCCAAGAACGTTCAGAAGTTCTCCTACCAGGAGAAAAGGCCGTTGGTGCAAAAAGTTGAAGCCACCAAACGGACAGACCGTACCCAAGATTACGAGCGCCGAAGTTAGCTCAGGTAGTCTTACCGCAAAACAATCGAAGCAGGTCAAATCCGCCGTCGAAGGCGTGTGATTCCTCATCTAATGAGAGCTCGCAGAGGCAGCGCCAACGCCGTGCGCGAAGCAGTTCGCCAAGGGCCATGGAGTCGTTGACAGGGGTCCGTTACCATGCGGCGATCGAAAAAAAACATACGAGGCAAACAGCTCTCAACAGCCCAAATGAAGGTGTTCCTCCAAGCCATCAACAATGGAGTGGATTCGTGTCAAATCGGGAACCGCTCGGACATTGGAGGAACGTATCCGCGCAAGCGCCGCGCATTATCTGCGCAAGCGGGGCTAAAGCTGAAGAAGGCCCGGCCTCGCAATGCTATCAGCGTGATGGTGGCCGAAAACAGCCATTGACTCCAAGTTTGAAGCCGAAGTCTTGGAGCGTTCAGTACTAAGGAGCGAAACCCACAACCGCCAAATGTTAACCACCGGTCAAATCAATCAACGGCCGGTGATTTTCTACAACTTGCTCCCGGAAAATCCCTGGCAGGAACCATCCCAGGAGAGAAAGTCAGTTTGGAGCGCCTCGGTCCTATTCCAAGAAACGAGGTATAAGCTCCAGTCCAAGAACGTTGGGCACCGAATAAAAAGTCCCAAACATACCACATCTGAGGTCGCCGCAACCGCAGCAATTTGGAGATAAATTCGGCGCCCAATGCGCACGAACTTTGCGCATAGAAGTACGGCAGCCGGGGTGCTCGGAGGATCACGCTCACGAAAAGGCGGCGTTTCAAGGCGTCGCGATTTCTGGACTGGCCGAAGAAGATAAACCATCCTCAAGAAGGAAAGTTGTCGTCTGATGACGACACGTTATACTGGGAGAAATGTGCCAAACACGTCGATGGGTGCTCCAACCGCAACGGACAGACTGTACTATCGTCAAGGGGGTACGAATAAAACCAGAAGAGGAGCCCTCAAAGATTAGCAACCAAATGTCCTTGGTCAAGCTCATTCCGGCAGTACTCTCACAGAATGGCAACTAGTATCACAGACAGTCCCTGACAGGGTTTCAGTATCGGAAGACTTTAGTGCTCGAAACGCCAAACCAAAGGCATAGGGTTTCCAACTGAACGAAGAATAGCGGTCAAAGACGGTGAATCACCGCGGAGGTCTCCCACATACCAACAGAGGGAACGTCGATACGAGAATGATCTCCGAAACAATACTGAAAGCATCTGACCTAGAACCCGTTCTGCAGTCGGAGGAGCCATTGAACGACAACCTAGATGGTAGGTTTCGGACCGACACCTTCAAAGATTGAAGAACCCGAGTAGCCGGTTCGCGGTGCGTCAGATAATACTGCTATCCAGTGAGGACACCCGCGAGGCCCTGATGATAAAGTGCGGAACAGACTGGCCAAGATGACTGAAGTCGACCCGCTTGCAAGCAGTAAAGAAAGTTTCAAATTTGAGATGGAATGGCCATGCAGCAGATGAAGAAATGCATGACGAACAGAATCCAAGCATTTGGCGAACCAACAAGGCGAGCAGAATCCATCGTAACCCGATTAATCTGGAAGATGAGGATGCGAATGCCGTATACCAATGATTACTCCCATCAACTCGCAGGGGTGGTAATGACGAAGCTGGCGAGAAACCAGCGGAAAACGCTGAAGATCAAAATCTCGAAGGCAAAAATCAATACGTTTGATTTTCCGCTCAAAGAGACAAAAAAAGACGGCTTCTTGTTCCATTACCAAAGGGAGTGGGAACAATCCATATCGCGGGCGAGTTCAGTCTAATAACTTCACGGCCGTTTAATGGGATGGTTCCCCTACTCAGCATTTCTGATATATTTCCAAATCGCCTTGGAGTTCATCTCTGGTAATCGGAACTCTGATGGTGGTCATATTCGGTTGGCACTCTTCGCGGAGTCGCCTTCGATTGTATGCGTCGCCGTCAAGCCAGGGATGCCATAAATTACTGGGACGACATGGAGTCAAAGTTCCTAAAACGCAAACTTCTTCGATTGACGACACCAGAAGTTTCTATTGGGTCATTGCTCGATGAGAAGAGAAAACGGGGAGTTAGTCGACATCCTTCGTCAAGAGGTCCGCAACACAGGCGACTGAATTGCCGGGAACCCCGATCACTCGAAGGAGTTTATACTCCAGACCTGCCACAGACAACCTCTCGCTGTCGTGTGGAAGCATGGGCACATGGTAAAACACATCTCAAGACGTGGAAGGATTTGAAGTCGCGAGGGAGAAGCTGAAGCGGGTTCATCAACAAGGAAGAAGGCGAGAGATGGTCAACCGCAGACAAATTTCCGAAGGCAGAACTTTCACGCAAAGAGGAAAAGGTAAAGCTCAGTTTTAGATGCTGTGATTGCTAACCAAACCTTTCAGTTGGCAAACCTCAGCAACAGCAGCAGCAACGGGCACCGCAACAGCACACACAGCAGGCAACGAGCGCCACAAGCAATCCCCAACTCATTGGCACAGCGGTCCCAGAAGCAAAAGTCTTTGGAGGGCAAGGTTTCCAAAGACCATACTCCTTCAAGACGAAGAGGTGCCGGCATTTTTAAATATTTGTATGAAACAACAAATCCAGGCTGCCAGCAATCGTGGATCAGGAGGAGAAACAGGTGAGCGGACCCAAAGTACTGCGCGTATCACAAGAGCGGTCCATCACCTAACGAAGGTCGTGCTACCACTCAAGGACAAGATCCAGGCACATTGACTGGGCGTTATAACCCCAGAAGCCTAGCCAAGAACGTGGACGAACGCCGTATCAATCAGTTTCGTGATGCGGCTACCTACGACCTTGGTTCGAGCCAAAGGCACAATCAACAAAGTCGGATGAAAGATCGGTGAACGACGACCCGCAGTGGACTAGCGCAAAAAAGGACTTGTGCCGCAATCACTCCAAACGGTGAAATCCCTATGGTTCACCCGACCTTAATTGAAGATGAACAATGGCCGGAATCGTCATTAAAAAAAGAAATCCAAAGGAAGGGAAGTCTTGTCTGTGAGTCTCTGCTATCCCGGAGAACTGACGAACGAATCTCCACCTTCCTGGTTCTGAAGAAAACACGAAGCTTTTGCGACCGGAGCGGGAAATGATACCATACAATTATCCGCACCATAATGAGCAGGGGGTGAACAGAGCCGGGACCAGCCACTAACTCTCGACGGAGATGGGATGATTGCAAGTCCACACCGGTAAAGAAGCTCTACGAAACGGTGAATAAACCAAAAGAGAAGAATCTTCAGGAGTGCAAAATCCGAAGCAGCCTCGTTCAAGTCGCCCGATTGGAAGAGACCAAAACGGAAAGGCTCAAAAACTCCGCAAGTCTTTGAGTATAATGGCTCAACTAGCCAACATTCCACACGAATAACGCTGTATGAATTGTGCGATATCCAAGAAACAGGGAGGCCCTACAAGAAGCTTTGGCAATGCAGAGGTATTTCTGACCAAGTCAAAGCCGGTGCATGAACACGCCAGAACCGCTGAGTCACAAGTGCAACATGGCGACTAAGAACCTTCCCTGCATCACCTTCACCAAAGAGGATATGCAACGCCAAAATTCGAATCACAATCGCGCTATACTTCGTCGATACAGATTGGTTCCAGCGACGTCAACCGGATGACCAGTCGATCGCGGGTTCCCGCTGTGAGACATTTATGCATCTTCGGTCTGATTGGCCACAACCTTGGCATTCCGGTCAGCAATTAGCGTCTACAGGCACGGTTATATACCGATTCAACACGACAGCGGTCAAGGCGCTTTGTCAAATTCGGGTAAAGTGCCAAATGGGCGATTTGAAGACAGAGGTACGTGCTATGTATTGATGCTGAAAACCCTCATATAACTTACTATTGGGGTCGGCCTTTGGCTCCATAGTAATGTTATAAGTTGCCCTCTACCTTACATCAGTGTCTGAAATATTGTCGACACTGATGGAGAGTTAGACGGTGGCTCGCGGATTAAGCAGACCATTTAAGGGTTTGAGAATATTTCACTGATTCCCAGTCCTTTATGGTAATCGAATCCGACTACAGAACCATCGGCACAGGCGCCGGACAAGGGAGAAGAACAGACTCCGGAAGCCAGGATTCGATTACAATGGTGGTTTTGTTCTAAATGACATTGTTACCCTTGTTAATCAATTTGACGTAGC